GGGAGCGAGCGACCATCAACATTGTTTACCGTTTCAGTGCAAATGATTTTTGCTATAACACATGGATATGGTTTTTTGGGAGCGAGCGACACAACCACCAAAGACTATAGGAGTTTTACGCATTTGTGTAGGTTGCTAAACGAGGTCGAAAAGGCAACAAATCCCTTACGTATCTATTTTTCACTACAAATATTTATTTCAAGAAAGCTGCTAAACATATATAAGCAGGTTTCCGTGAAAAGAAAAACAGCTCAATTCAGGTTTCCTAGGAATCTCATTTATCTTTGTAAGACTCCACATCTACTTTCATATATGAAGTATACATTTGTTGTCGCCAGAAGCCAGAAGTGCATGTTACTTTAAAGAAAGGAGATAGTGAAACACTACGGCATTTTATGGCCTTTTTAGAAGCTGAAATTTTTAATACTATAAGCTGCATATTTCATCGTTGCACAAAGAAGTGTTGTTTCACAGAATGTCAGGATATTTCCAGACACCTTGACCTTCCCTTCCTTCATTGGTTCCTTCGTACAAAGCGTTTCGAGCTAAATCGGTCCACAAATTCTAGCAAAAACGAAGGCAACAAATGGTTAAATCATATCAGTTACTCCCAATTTTAGAGAAAGATCTATCTACGAAGAAATGCTTTGGATAGCGACTATTTTTGCTATGCTATTTACGCTCCTCAACTATCAGAATCTTTGGGCTTTCTACAAATCGGAATAGGCTACCAAAACCAACTTGCCTCAATTTCCGCAAAAAATCATAACTTTGCGGAGCGCGGCGAAGCTTTGCGCTTTAAGAGCACCTTAGAAGGGAACTTACACACACTCTTCCTAGAAAAAGCGCCGCTTCGCGGCGCTTTGTTTAGGGTACCTTAGAAGGAATCTTATACACACTCTTTCGAGACAAGGCGCCGCGAAGCGGCGCTTTGGCTAGAGTGCTTTAGAAGGGTTACACACATTCTTTCGAGACAAGGCGCCGCGAAGCGGCGCTTTGGCTAGGGTACCTTAGAGGGGAACTTACACAGACTTTCCAGACAAAGCGCCGCTTCGCTCCGCTTTGTTTAGGGTACCTAAGAAGGGAACTTGTACACACTCTTCCGAGATCTTAGAAGGGAACTTACACACACTTTTCCCAGACAAAGCGCCGCTTCGCGGCACTTTGGCTAGTAGAAGATAAATCATTCGATGCGATACTGCACCTTCTAGTTCATACTCTCATGACGAAAGCTACAGCACGATTTTAATTCCAAGAAAATTGGCTTTAAAAGCTCGAATAGAATCTTTTAATATAAAAGTTCTGTGTCGAAATTATTTTTTCAACAATATGCATAATTTAATAGGTTGATGCATACGTCTTGACCTATTTGGGCTTTATAATTTTTATCGCACAATTTAAGACGAGCGCAAGCAACCATTTGATATATTCTCCATTGTATCGATGGTTCGCCATCGTTTGGGTGGTTGGCCCTTCCTCCAGAAGGTTGCTAGCAGGCCATCGAAGAAAGCCTGGAATGCTCTTGATGTGGTCGCGGTTGTTGAAGCCTTCTCTGTCCAAATGACATTGAAGACGTTTGCCTTCGTCGTTGCGATTTGTGATATGGAAGTTGTGTTGTCTAACTGGAAGCAAATTCTGGTATAAGCCCGCATGCAAGTTCAATGGTTGACTTCAGATCCCTCAACTGAGGAATATAAGCGTCTGCGTACACAGCGACACTTTGATCGAGCAATTCCCAACACTTCACGCTTCATACGCTCCACCAGAAGCACAGCATCACCTTTTTGGCGTGTACGTTGGGCTTTGGGACGTCTTCTGCCTCTCCATATTTACCGACCCATTTTATTTGCTCGGCGTTGAAAGTTAGAGTACTAGACCAACTTCTCATCAGTGATGATGAAGTCGACCCAGCCAGGGGTGCGCCGCCGGAACACGAGGGAAGTGCCATGTCGGCCCGATGATCCTTCGCTGTGTTAGGGAGCGCGTACCCAACGACCGCGCTTCTAGACTTTGTCGATTGAATTACTTA